GCCTTGTGACATCTCTTGGTGAAAGGCTTGATCAGGGCCTTCAGCAAACCGGGACAGGCCATCAGCGTTCCCAAACATTTCGGTTGGAACATACTCGATGGTGTAGGCGTAATTCATTAAAATTAGTGCCCAACGTTGAAGTCTGTTAGCTGAAATGACTAGAATGCCATTGGTTGGTCCAAAAATAGTGGTCAAAGGTCGATGATCTGGGTACAAGACAAACTTGCGTCCCCAGAGATTCTGATGGAACTTACGTACACCAAAGATGATTGCAAGTGTCTCTTTCTCAATTTAAGCATACTTCTGCTCCGTCTTCGTAAGTGTCTTTTAGGCGTGAGCGATGGGGCATTCCCTTCCATTGATTTTATGGTAGATCACTGCTCCAACTCCCTTTGATGGAGGCTCTGCCGCAAGGTAGATCGTCTTGTCAGGGTTGAAGTGGGCAAGAGCTTCGGTTGCTGATAGATGCTGTTTGATCCTGTCAAAAGCGTCCACACAATCAGAGGTCCAGTTCCAGGCATTGTCCTTTCATTGAAGGGCGTTTAATGGCGTGGATATCTCGGCCAAGCTTGGCAGGAACTTACTGTAGTGTTGGATCATCCCCAAAAGAGATCTCAGCTGGCTGACATTTTCGGGCTCAGGCATGTTGAGGATAGCAGAAATCTTCTTAGGGGACGGACTGAACCCTTCACCATGAACCACTTGTCCGAGGTATTCTACTTGCTCTTGAAGAAAGCTGCACTTGCTTTTTTTTCAGAGTGAACCCGTATTCTTTGAGGCGCTCGAGGACTCGGGTCAGATTCCGAAGATGATCGGAAGTGTCCTTCCCGGTTACAATGATGTCGTCTAGATAACAAGTCACGCTATCAAGACCTGCAGTGACCTGGTTCATCGTTCGTTGGAACACGGCTGGTCGCCGACGGAATTCCAAAAGGCATTCGATGGAATCGAAACAGTCCTTTATGGGTGTTAATTACAAGGGCTTGCTTGGCTTCGTCGTCTAGTTCCATCTGAAGGTACGCTTCGGAGAGATCCAACATCGTGAATCGATTGCCTCCGTTGAGCTTGGCAAACAGTTCTTCAGGTCGCGGTAGAGGATACTGAGCGATGTCCAGTTGAGGATTTACGGTGACGCTGAAGTCTCCACACACGCGGGCTGAACCGTCAGCTTTGGGGACTACCACGATTGGCGTTGCCCATCTGGATACTTCAACTGGTGAAATAACCTTGTTGTTGATCTGTTTCTGCAGATCCTATTCTACCGCTGCACGTGTCGCAAACGGAATAGGTCTCGGCTTGAAGAAGCGTGGTGTTGCATCAGGCTTGAACTGTAGCTGAACCTTCAGCTTTGTGCAGCAGCCAAGACTGTCGGTGAACACGCGCGAGAATCGCGTGAGCATTGATTCCAGCTTGGCGCGTGTAGTCAGTTCAACGGATCTAACAAACAATCGGTTCAGATCGATCTTGAGCGCATCAATCCATGTTCTTTCAAGCAAGTCGGTATGTCTCTCCTCTGTCACCACGGCTTCCAACGCAGAGGTCTGTTGGCCTAGTGTGACGTTAAGAACGCACTGTCCCTTGAGAGGAATTGCTTGGTTGTTGAAACAACACAGGTTGCACTCACTTTCCTTGAGTGGCGGGCATCCGAGCTTCTCCCAGGTGTCAATGTTCAGTAGTGTCAGCTTGGAACCGGTGTCCACTTGCAGATTAACGGGGATTCCTTGGACGGAAACAGGTGACACATTCGCCGTCTCTATCACGAGTAGCGAAAACGTTCGTGACGGTTTTGACGTCCCGTTTCCGGTTTTCTCATTGTTTTTCCTAAATGTATGACTGGTGTTATTCCTAAAGGTATGCAGGTAGCTAAGGTCTGTCTTGTACAAGTCCGGAGACAAAAATAATATGTCCAACTACAGACCGATCTCAATACTGCCTGTTTTTTTCAAGGGTTTAGAGAAAGTTATTCATGTTAGGCTAAATAATTTTTGTGAAAAAAATATGCTACTTACAGATTCTCAGTATGGTTTACGGAAAGGTCGTTCTACTGAACTGGCTCTTTTGCAGCAAAAAGAAATTATCTTAAACAATATTAAAAATAAGTGTCTAACTTTAGGAATATTTATTGATTTTTCTAAAGCCTTTGACCGGCTGAGTCATAAAGTTCTGTTAGAAAAACTATACTCTTATGGAATTCGAGGACATTCCCTGGCTCTTATAGAAAGCTACTTGAGTTTCCGGCATCAAGCTGTTGAAATAAACGGATATTCCTCAATGCTGAAAGCAGTTCGGACAGGAGTACCCCAAGGAAGTGTCTTGGGGCCATTGCTGTTTAACCTATTTATAAATGATATATTTACTATCACAAGAAAAGCTTCATTTGTCATTTATGCGGATGATACCAGTATATTTTTTTTAAGAAAAGACATTAATAGTTTAATTACCAATGCAAATATATGTCTTGAAAGACTTAGTTGGTGGACTGTCTCCAATTCTCTGAAAATTAATGAAAGTAAAACAAATGCAATTATCTTCAAACCGAAAGGTACAGTGTGTAAGGCCACCACAAAATAATGATGAATTCCTCGGAGGTTAAGTTTGTAACTACTGTTAAAACATTAGGCGTGATTTTTCACGAACATATGTTATGGGACTCGCATGTTCAAAATCTTACTATGAAACTTTCAAGCATCATAGGCATTCTATATAAGAATCACTTTATATTACCATCTCGAGTAAAGCTTTTAATTTTCAATGCAACATTTAATCCTCGTATATCATACTGTCATCTAGTTTGGGGAACTACGACAAGTACTAACGTTAATAAATTGTTTTTGCTGCAGAAAAAAAGCAATTCGCATCGTAACTAATGAGTCTTATTGCGCACATACTGAACCTCTTTTTTCTAAACATAAAGTAATGAAAATCAAAGAATATTTTAAATATAAGCTAGCAACTATGTACATGACATCACTTAAATTTCCAAATCATCCATTACGGCGAATTTCCAAATTGACTAGGAAAAATATTGCATACGATATGCGCAGCGCCGGAACCTTCAGAGTACCACGTCCAAGAACTAATTGCGGTCTACAGACGATCCAAAAGTATTGAATTTTTTCAAAGAAAAAGGCGTCTTCATTGAAGATGTAAACAAGAATAGATTGCGTGAAATATTATTTTCCTAATAACATATTTTTCGCAGTGGTGCATAAATGTTCTTGTTTTTGTTGTTTCAAATGATGCAATTGTATTCCGCTGTCCGATCTACCTGTAGGGGGCAGGGGCTTCGTCAAGCTGCATTTCTGTAGCTTTTTCTCCTGCCTCCATCGCCCATTTTGTATTATGGGAGTAAATAAAATAAATTGAATTGAATTGAATTGTTTGTTGCGGTCGCTGGAGTGCCACATCTTTGCAATATGGTCTTGCTTGCCGCAGCTGTTGGAGGATTCATTCCGATATCGACAAGTAGACTCTACGTGGTTGCTGTTGCGACACCGGAAACACTTGGCTGGGGTAGAAGCAGGGTGCTTTACTTTGTAGACGTGCAGCGCATTTTGGTCAGGACGATTCTATTGGAGGGACTCCGTTTCAGCCCTGAGATAAGATTCGCCCAGCCGCAGTGCAGTGTCTAGCGTTAAGTCCTTCTCCATTACCAAACGTGCCCGGATGCGGGAATCGTGAAGGCCAACAATGAATGCCGTCAAGAGTAAACAGTTCCTGGCGTTGGTCTCCGTCTCATATTCGCAAGTTGCAATAATGGACCGTAATCTTGCGAGGAATGTCTTTACGTTCTCCGATTCCTCTTGACGCGCCGAAAATAGCTTGGCTCGCTCGAACTCCTTGAAACTCCTCGGAGCTAAGTGAACCTGGAGTCGTGTAACGAGGTCATGATACGTCAGCTCAGAGAAATTCTGAGGCTGAACCAGGGTGTACAGCAGCTGAAACGTCGTCGATCCAAGTGAAGCTATCAATAAATTTTTCTTGTCGACGTCGGCGATTATATTCGCGACGTCCAAGCAAGCTTGAAATCTTATCTGATAGAGCTTCCACTCCTCCTTGTCGGAGTCGAACGTCCCAGGGCCATGGAAGTGGTGGGTGCTGCTGTCTCCCACTTCTCGGCCGTTGGAGCTGCCGCTGGCCATCAAGGGTTCTTGGTTTTCGTCGCCAATGTTGTGACCTGGTTCAGGTGGCAAATATATTTATTTCGAGGAGCCAAAACTATGCATGTCCGGCCGCCAGGACATAGGGTGCCGAACGCCCGAGCTGCCAGCCACACGAGCCCGTGCACCAGGCTTGATGGTCCCTTCGATGGTGATAGCAGGCTGCCTGCTACAGTGACGAGTCCGCTGGGAAAATAGATGATACAAGAGAATTGATAACGTTTATAATTCAAACCGACAACACCATTCCTTACGTTTCTGTTTTGCTTCTTTTAAAGATGGCAAGTCGCATAAATCTTGAGGAAGTTTATTAAAGTAGAAGGGAACATCGTATTTTGTTAGACGTCGTCCGTAATTTGTGTATACCATAGGAATAGAAAAAGGTTTCCGAATGTCTTAGGGTCTTTTGTCTGCTGACTCTGTGCTTGTAATTATAATAATAATAATATTTTATTAGGACAAAATTCCCTTAATTCCTCAACTTGCAATATTTGGAGGGAGGCCAATTTTTCTGCTTTAACAAGGTTTTCATATTTCGAACCATAGGCAATGCTAGTTGCAATTTTATAAATTAGTTTATTTAATTTTGTTTTCGGTGGGAAGAACAGGAGCTATACACAGTGATTCCATACCGCAAGAGAGAGCAACCGAGCGCTTCGTAAAACCGAGCGCTTCGTATGTACGCGCACTGCAGCCCTAGGCAGCCGGAGAACCGTAAAGCGATGACAAAAAGTGGCATGGTGGCGGTACCGCTTCCGGAGTGGGCGTACCTGCGCAGTTTACCCATAAAGATCGGCCTATTTATTTATATATATATATTTTTTTTTTTTTTTTTTTTAGTGACGTAAAGAAGCGAGCTTCCGAACTCGTGGAACGGACTCGGCAGGCCATCCGCAAGGTGATTCCTTGCGACGTCCTGGAACCAGGAGTGCTTCCCGATGAGCATCTGGAGACCTTCGACGCAGTCCTTTCCTGCAACTGCCTGGAGTCTGCAACGCGAGACCACGCGTCCTTTCGGCGAGTGATGTGCAACGTGGCAGGTCTGGTGAAGCCTGGCGGTCTGCTCATCCTGGCCGGTGTGGGGGGCCAGGAAAACTACCCTGTGGGCAACGAAGTGTTCCCCATGGCAGACGTCAACGAAGATGTAATCAAGAAAGCACTGGCGGACGCCGGCTTAAACGTGGAAGTGTACCAGACTGAAATGTACGACGGCCCCGACAGGGATGCTGTTGGCCGGAGATTCGCCTTTGTTATTGCAGCTCGCAAGGCGTAATTAAAGTTGAGGCGCCTGCCCGGTCGCAGAGTCTTCCCTAGAACCATTTGTAGTGTCCTCCTCCTCCTCCCCCCACCCCCCCGCCTAACCACACTACACAACGCCGAACGCTCAGTCTCTGCCCGAAGGTAAAGCGCTAGCGGTCCGGACCGGGTAGAAAACTTTAAGAATTTACCGTTCCCTTATTCAAAGGTTGAAGTGATTTTTCTGAAAATTTTTATGGGAAAATAACGGCCTACGAAGCCCAAGAATTCATGCAGATGTATGGCGTCAGTTATCAAGTACGCGCCGCATTTTCTAAAAGAAAGAAAAAAATTACTTATGACCTTTGAATAAGAAAACGGTTAGTCCCAAAACCTTAACAGCACTAATTTTGAGCGAGAATTGAGTGTTCGGAGTTGTTTGGCATATTGTTTTTTTAATAAAAAAACAACAAAAAAACAACTTTTTTTTGGGTGGACACGCTTACAGTTGGGCTTTTTTTAGACTCGAGCTGGAGCGGGCAGTTGCAATTCCGGCTCAAAGCTAAATGTGTGCCTTAGCAGCTGCGACGAAATAAAATAGACCATATGAAATACTATACACCTTGCATATATTGAAAATTGTAGAGACTCTGGAGGAGACAGGTCTTCGCTGCGGATACCATTGCTGAGTAGAGGAGATCGCGCGCACGGTTTTAATCGGAGCTCAGTATGGGAGAGAATACACGTCGGTACCTTTGACTGCATTGCCGCAGAAAGTTGCCCCGAAGTATAGACGACTTGAAACAGAGCGTCTGGCCGCTGCCATGTTCCTGTTGTTAACGCGAGGAAGCAAGTGAAATTGCAAGCCTGCCAAAGCCACCTTCACGCACCTGCTGCACGTGCTTTAACACATGGGGCACCAGCCATGACCCAATGGTTGCAAACATGTATAGTACCATTTGCACTCGGGTAAGGCTCTGAGCAGTACACCCGCAGGCAATATGAAGGTGAACGCCGGAACGTCGACCGGTTCGTGCTATCAGCGCCATGACGCGGCAGCCGCGTGGCAGCTCGCTTTCTTATCGCACTCTTCGCCGAGATTAAACGCTCAGGTCGAACGCTGTTCTCACCTCTGCTGCTACTCCCCGCAGAAAGCGCGAGAATCGCAGAAGGAGCCTTTCAGACGCTATTGTTAGACAATGTGATTTAGTAATTTTTTTGTTGTTGTTGTGATATGTGCTAAACTGGAAAGCAGGGGAGCAAATCAAAAAGTAACTTATCCTTTCCATTTCTTAAAGAGAACAGTTATTAGCGTTCGCAGTAATTATACTTGGTTTCACCTTAGGTCCGAGCGCGGCCGATGTTATAAGCCGAAGGGCCAATGAAACAGCGGAAGAGGCACAACGTCATGGCGTGCTTTCTGCAGCTGATAGGACCAGCCGGTATTCGTCGTCTCTCTGTGCGTGCTCCTCTGCCGGCTAGTTCTATAAAGCGCAGAGAACGCGCCATGACGCCGCGCTTTTTGCGCTGTATGATTGGCCTTTGGCTCATAACATAGGCCGCGCTCGGACCTAAGCTGAAACGAAGTATAGCGTTCACTTATGAATGAAAAAAGCGGTTGAGTCACTGATAAACCATGCCGAAGAGCGTCCGCTCTAGTTCACGTGCAATGTGCAAATCATTTGCCGGCAATGACGGGGGCACGGCGCCCACAAAAAGCGATGCTGAAATCAAAACCCACTTCCACGCCTTCTGCGGGGAGTAGCATCAGAGCTGAGAACAGCGCTCAATCTATTTCGGCAAAGCGAGCAATAAGAAAGCAAGCCGCCACGGCAGCCGCGTCATGACGCTGATAGCTAGCACCGGTCGACGGTCCACCGTTCACCTTCATATCGTCTGCGGGTGTACAGTCGCCGTAGAGTTCCTGTATAGCTACCTACGGTAGGGAGCCTATACAGGAACTCTAAGTCGCCGGCCATATGAGCTCCCCCTGACGAACGCCGACCGGATCAGCGAAACTCCCGCATGCGGCGCGTCGAGCGTTGCCGCGTTCTGGGAACCGGGCTATTGGGAGCAAACCATTCCGTTATCAAAGGGGTGGACGCAGGAAGTTTAATAGCATTCCGCGTTTTGGAACGTGATTCTGAAGCACGGCCGATTACAATCCCGCTTCCGGTTGTAGGTAAACGCAGACGGCTTATCGAAATTCTTCGGTGCGTAATATCTCTGACGTGTTATGTGCTACTTTTCTTTTTTATTTGCAAAGCCGGTTTGTCATTTTAAATATTTCCTACCCGAAGAGTAATCCTACGCACAAGCTTTCTTATAATCTTTCTTAAACCTAGACTAGACAATGACAAGCGATTTTGAAATCATTTATTTAATCTATGGGGATATGCTATAGATAACATAAAGAAAAATATTTGTGTCGAAGCAGAATAAAGATTCAGGCACTTTTTATGAACGCATTTTATCGAAGAGACTCTATTCCGCGCTCAGTAGCGTGTTGCTTCGCCAAGGGTAATTATCTACACGATGACTTTGCAGATGGCTTCCTGGTCGGCCACTTCTCGCTTGCCGAGGGATCATTGTTGTCATGCCAAATATCATATCAAACATAGGGTATTTACATTTTTAAGCATCTATAGCACAATGCTGCTTTATCTACGCCTAAAGCAAGCTCCAGTTTATCAGCAGTTATGCCATCATCTCCGAACACTTGGGGCCAACACCCGAACACGGCAATTCTAATCGGCCATGTTTTCGGGATTTACACTTCTAAAGGCTTAAATCCCGATAAAAGCTATGCGTCCACCCCTTTGATAACAGAATGGTTTGGTCCCAATAGCCTGGTTCCCCAAACGCGGCTACGCTCGACGCGCAGCGTTCGGGATTTTCGCTGATCCGGTCGGCGTTCGGCCGGGGGAGATCATATGGCGGGCGACTGTACTCCTTGTGAAGACATGGTTGACAATATTTTTGGCTCACTAAAAAAAAAACATTGGTTAATCTGGACTTATTTGCAATTGATTTAAATGCAACATATTTTAACGCGATAGCAAGCGCCATCTCTCGTCGTGTCATCTACACTCGATCTGTTATAATAAATGTTATACCCCCAAAATGTTCCAGTTCCCATTCATTGGTGTTTTTATAAAAGACACGAAATTCCTAAAAACATTTTTTACTTGCTTAGATACTACACGTACGTAACAAAATAAACTCCCCCCCCCCCCAAAAAAAAAAAAAAAAAAAAAAAAAAAAAAAAAGATAACGCAGTATCTACACCATGACACGGAATTTGGGTGGAGGTACGCAACGGCCCACGACCTGTTCTATAGGCACCACCCATTACTACTGGGTTGGCTCGGCTGCTCAGCCAGACACCGTACGCAGGCCTAAGGCCGCCCTGTCACAACTTCTAGTGCGTTTAGTCTGCACCGTCTGCTACTTGTACAAGCGTTGGGGTGTCAGCGTCCGCCATCATCTGCCACCGTTCTCTATTCCGCCACTGTCTGCCATTCGTGCGGACGCGATCATGAAAGCGATTTATCATACACAAACCACGGTCGAATACAAGTGTCCGTCAGTGTCTCTCCAGGAGCGCTAAAAGCACCCAGAAAGACAAAAAAAAATCAGTGTCATATTAAAACCCTCAAACGTATGCATGCAGCCTGCTCGCGATGGTAGTACGTTTGACAGGCGTTTAGTCGGGCTCTACCACACTTCATCCCAAGTCACTTCATCCCAGGACAGTTCATCCCAGATACATAATACCGAACTCATTTCATCGCAGGATGTTTCACCCTAAGACAGTTTATCCCATGGACAATCTATATTACATTTGATGCCAAAATAATCCATACGGTCCAGCCGATTAAAGGGCCACTCACTTCATCCCAGGTCATTTCATCCCAGGACTGTTTATTCTGGACACTTCATACCAGAAACGTTCTCTCCCGAGACGTCTCATCCCAAGACGTTTCATACCAAGGACATTTCATACCTGGATATTTTATACCACAAAGTCTTCTGCCTAGAAGAAGTTATAAAATCGGTTTTTCACGCGCAGAGAAGACATATGCACTTTGTCTTTCTTCTATTGCCACCCGTGCCAAGTAAGACTGTCCTGCACTTGGCATCGAGCTTGCATCAGTCGAACAGTCCAGCCGGCCCGACTCATTGATAGTCATCGAGTTTGTTTATAGAACATGGCCGCCTTTGTGGCTTCTCGTCGAGGATCGTCGAAGCTCTGCTTCGAAGGTTTTATGTACACCAAGCACAGGACCAACGACGAGAAGACGGCATGGAGATGCGAGAAATTCCAGGAGGGTTGCCGGGGACGAGTTGTTACAGCAGGTGAGACGACCACTGTGACACAAGGCCACACTTGCCATCTGCCGAGTCCAGGAAATGTCGCTGCGGCGCGTTTACAAGATAAGATCAAAACTGCAGCCAGGCGCTCCCACGCCACCCTTCTGAACGTCGCGACCGCCTGCCTACAAGGGGCAAGACCGGCGACTATCGCAAAGCTCCCCAAGCTGCCATCACTGGAAAGTAAGGTGAACAGAGTTCGACGCGAAGCCCATGGCGCAGCTCAAGTTCCCCACCGAATCGAAGACATAATTGTACCTGAACACCTCCGCATGACAAGAACAGTGTCAACTGAAGTATATCTCGCAGGGGACACAGGCTGTATTGACTCGGAAAGAATTATAATTTTCGAATGTAACACGGACCTGTGCCGCTTAAACACCTGCGAAACCTGGTTGTGTGACGGCTCATCCAAAGTGGCACCAGAGATGTTTTACCACCACTGGGTTGTTCATGTCTTCTAAAAAGGCAGGGTGCTTCCCCTTGTTTACTGCCCCTTGCCAAACAAGCGCGATGCGGCGTACAAGAGAGCAACGCGCATTCTACTTGAGGCTATTGACGATGCCACTTCAAGCCCCCGACAGGTGCACAGAGTAGTGATGGACTTTGAAAAGGCTGAAGAGAATGCTTTTCGGAAATGCATTCCCGACGTCGAGGTGCATG